TGCTGGGAGGACACCTCAAGGTCCCACAGCAGCTTCCCATCCCTGAGAGTACACCTCGAGGTCCAAGAGCAGCCTCCCGTTCCCGGGAGGACCCCTCAAGGTCCAGCAGCAGCACAGCACCCCTCGGAGGTCACACCCTGGCTTCCCACCCCCTCTCCTGGCACAGTTCCCGCCGGGATGGGCACCGGGGCGGCGCAGGGGAGCGGCCGGTTCTGCCGCATGTGGATCCTGCGGTGCACCTTGAGGTGGTAGAACCTCTTGAAGGTCTTCTGGCAGATCCCGCACTGGTGGGGCCGGACACCAGCGTGCGCCCAGTGCTGCCGGACGAAGTCGGAGATGCAGGTGAAGCTCCAGTTGCAGCAGGGGCACAGGATGAGGTGGCGGCCGGAGTGCTGGCGCTGGTGCACCGTCAGGAAGCTCTGGCTGGAGAAGTTCTCCAGGCACTCGCTGCACTTGTACAGCATTTTCCCAGGGGACAGCGGGCACCTGGCAGGGCTGGGCTTCTCCCACACCGCGCCACGGTCCCTGCTCAGGGCTTGGGGCTGGGAGGCCGGGCACGGTGTCTGACTGGGACACACCTCTGGCTGATTCAGGGGTTGGTGGGTCCCACTGGCTGCCCAGGTTTGGGGCTGGGGCGTTGGCCACGGTGTGTGGCTGGGACACGCCTCTGGCTTTGAGGCCTGGAAGGCCCCGTTGGCCACCCAGGCTTGGGGCTGGGATGGTGGGCACGGTGTCTGATTGGGACACACCTCCGGCTCCGAGGGCTGGCACAGCCCGTTGGCCGCCCAGGTTTGGGGCTGGGATGTTGGGCACAGCACCTGGTTGGGACGCGCCTCCGGCATTGAGGCCTGGCAGGTCCTGTTGGCTGCCCAGGTTTGGGGCTGGGACATTGGGCATGGTGTCCAGCTGGGACACTCCTCTGGCTTTGAGCCCTGGCAGGTCCCACTGCCCACACACATTCGGGGCTGGGATGTCGGGCACGGCACCTGGCTGGGACACACTTGTGCATCCAGGGGCTGGCACGTCCCGTTGGCTGCCCAGGTTTGGGGCTGGGATGTCGGGCACAGCACCTGGCTGGGACACACCCCCGGCTCTGAGGGCTGGCAGGTCCCGTTGGGCACCGAGGCCTGGGGCTGGGATGTCGGGCACGGCACCTGCCTGGGACACACCGGAGCATCCGGGGGCTGGCACGGCCCATTGGCCACCCGTGTTTGGGGCTGGGAGGTGGGACGCGGTGTCCGGCTGGGACGTGGCTCCGGCTCCGAGGGCTGGCACGTCCCGCTGGCCGCCCAGGCCCGGAGGTGCCGCCTGATTTTCTTCTTGGACATGAACTTGCGGTCGCAGTGCACGCAGACGTAGGGCGTCGAGTTGCTGTGGCTGCGCTGGTGGATCAGGAAGTTGATCTTCAGCAGGAAGCGTCTGCTGCAGATGGGGCAGGAGTGGAATTCCCGGGTGGCATTTCGCTGGCCCACGCAGGAGCCCTTCTCCGGCTTTTCTGGGCCAGAATCTACCTTTCCTGGTCCTTCGGGAATGTCAGCCGCTGGACCTTGGCCGACATTCCCTGAATCTTTCACATCCTCCTGCTCCAGACCCTTCTCCTCTTCTGGACTCTCTGAGGATTTTCCAGGCACTATCAGCTTCTCCACAGTGACCTCCTCCTGTGGCACCTCCATTGGGATCCCCACCTCGGTGTCTGCTGGGAATTTTTCACAGCCCAAACATCACTTTTCCACGCAGTTTTGGGGCATGAACAGCAAAAAGCTTTGCTCCCACCCTCCCTCACTTCCCAACACATTCCCAGCCAGCAGCCAGCACAAATCCCAGCCCTGCTCTCCTCTTCCAGCCCAATCCCTGCACTGTGCAAAAGCCAGGAACAGCCACAGCTTACCCCTGCAGACAACCCAGGGGTAGTTTGAGGTGGCAAACACCACCCAGGTAGGAGAAGGAAGTCTGAAGCCACAAAAGGGCTTGTCCAGGCAGGCCGTGCCCCATCCCAAATGGTTTCAAGGCTGGCAACAGGATTTGCTGCCAGAGCCCTTTCCTGGAAGCCCCAGGCCTGAAGAGAGCCCCAAGGAGGGATAAAGGTTCTGCCCCAGTACCTGCTGCGGTGGGAGGTGATGGAGACTGGTTCTGATCCGCTGCTTCCCGACAGCACGCGGAGAGCGGGCGGGAAGGGGACGGGGATGGCTGGCTGAGATCCCCTGGGACAGCAGCTTCCAGAGGGACAGGGGCTGTGAGGGCAGGAGGAGCAATGAAGGTGGGTAAGAAACAGCTGGGCAGGGGTCCCAGGACCCCTCACAGCAGCAGTGGGGTTTGCCAGGCACTCACGTGTGCTGAAGTTCTCCGGGACTGCTGGGCTCCCACTTTCCTCTGATGGCTTCCCACTTTCCTCTGATGGCTTCCCACCTTCCTCTGCCAGGTTTCCACTTTCTTCCACCAGGTTCCCGCTCTCCTCTGGCTCCCTGCAGCTCCCCTCACCAGGCTCTGTTGTCTTTGCCCCCAGCATCCCATCACTTCTGGAGCAGCTCGGGCGGGCCAGCTCTGCAGAGGACAAGGACACTTGGATTCCCCAGGAGTCAGTGGGGAGCTCTGATGAGCCAGCACAGGATCCCATCCCACAGGGCATCAGGATCCCATCCCGCAGGGCATCAGGATCCCTCACATGCAGCTGCTGCTGGGGCAGGGGGGTTCCAAGCTATCCATGTGTCCCAGTGTGTGTTCCCTGGGACCTCTCCCAGCACAGGCTGTCACAGCTATCACAGGACACCTCCCCATCCCTGGGAGTGTCCAAGGCCAGGTTGGATGGGGCTTGGAGCAACCTGGTCTATGGAAGATGTCCCAGCCCATGGCATGGGGTTGGAACAAGATGAGCTTTAAGGTCTCTTCCAACCCAAACCAGTCTGGGATTCTGGGATTCTGAGTCCCTGGGGCTGAGGGCAGGGACAACCATGGTCCTGGTGAGCAGCCAGGAGCTCCTGGCATGAAAAAACCCCAGTGTCACACACCTACAGCTGGCTCTGGGAACACATCCGCTGCCTCTGGCTCCGACTCCGTCATCATGCTCAGCTCTTCTCCTCTTTCCAGCCAGAGGAGCAGATGAGGCTTGGACAGGGCACAGTCTGGGCAAGAGCAGGACAGACATCAGGGACATGACGGGACAGGGACTCTGTGGGTGCCCCCCCAGCCAGGCAACACAGAGCCAGACCCAGCCCAGGAAACTTCTCCAACTGGGACAGCGACAGGAGTTACAGACACAGACAGGAAGCAGCAGGCAGAGCTCACAGAGGAATATGGGAAGCAGCCTGGGACAGCCCCCCGCGAACAACTGCAAGAAAATCCATCCTTGATCCATCCCTGCATCAGAATCCCTCATTATCCCAGAAATTTACCTCATGGATAGGAAAATATCCCGAAAAACGGGAAGGAAATT